TGATATCTATTAGTAATTAAAAACATTATCGAAAAGGTAAAAATATCTTTAGGAAAAATATCCAAATCCAAAATATAAAAGTAAAAAATATCTGGATTATATTAAAATCCGAAATGAACAATAGATAATAAAAGAAGATTTTATGTATAAAACTCCATTATAAATTGTGTTAATCACGAAATTCATAATTTAATTTTGATACTGACAGAAAATAATGACAAATGTGCAAAACTATTAAATTTTGTTTTTATAACTTTATTTGTCCAATGAACGTATTTTTTGTTACTTCCTGTTAAAATTTAGCAATTTTTTTATCTTTGTTCTATTGATTATTTGATATTTCACCGACATATTTAATTTAATAATGGAATTATTATTAAATTATTGTTAGTTTATTTTTCCGTAAATTTTTTAATCCAAATTTATGAAATAAAATAGGAGACTATAGCTCCCATAGAAAAATTTTTTATACTACATCCATGGATATCACAATTTCAACAGTGTCAACTTTATAATGACCAAATAAAATCTAATTTCTAGGCCTTCTAGTCTATGTTTGTATAATTAAAAATAAAACATTGTTACTTATTTTGGTAAAATTTGAGGTAGGTAATTTTGTATTTGCAGTAATGACATAATTATCTAAGAACTCGACAATTTTAGTTATTACATTTTAATTTTATTTTATATCACTAATAAAAAACTAGGGTCAAAAATGGATTATGGAAGTATGACATCATGAACTGCTTTTTATAGAAAAATATAATTGGACAGTTATCCTTGAGCATTTGTCATAATATAATATTGCATTAGATAAAAAATAAATACGTTAAGAAATATAACTTCAATTTAACATAAAAACATATTTTATAATAAAAATTCATTCTTAAAAATATAAAAATAATTGCATTAATAATTAAATAAGCAGTCAATTATGTAATATATAGAATATCCTTAAGTGTCCTGAATCAGGTTGTGATTAAATACTAGAAGGGTCTTTAATCTTTAAGATTTAGAAATCGTTGAAAATTAGTGTACTGCTGCTATACTCATAAATTATAGAATTAATTAAGTAGAAGCTCAAAACTAAAACCTATGTGTTAATTCCAAATAATGAGTTTCTGATTATGACATAAAAAGAGATTTTTCTTAAATATATAGAAAAATGTTTCGATGCAAATATGTAGTTAGTTTTTAATTTAAGAAAATTGGTGGTTTATTCCAAAAGCAACATGAACCCATATTTACTTATTTATGTCCTGATTACAAATTTTATGATTTATAATTGCAATATGTAATTACAGCATTTAAAAATAGTATGAAATTGATATCTAATAATTTAGTATTATAATTTTTCGGAGAAATTATAAAAATTATAAAATAATTAACACTGTTATGGCAAACACATATACACAAAAGTTAGAAGTCTTGAGCAATACTTAAAAAAAAATTATTTGTTTTTATAAATAAATTTACTGGTATACAAGGAATTTTCATTAGAGACCAGAATATATTTTTCTAAACCTTTGTTTGCAATTTCAAATATGTAACCAGAGTTTCGCATATAGCAAAAATAATAACAAAATTCTTCTAATTAATATAACAAATATTTATGTTTAATTATTAGGTTACGTATGAATAAATATATTTTAATGAAAAATAAGTTGGAAAAGTTCTATTTTCTATAAGCATTTTTAATTTTTTTACCCACCCTGTATTAAGTGAAATTGTCCGATTTAAAAACAAAAGTATGTCAAAGAAGGAAGTACATAAATGGTATTTTTCATAAAAAATTGTATCGATCCATACATTTTTCAAAAAGTTATAGGAATATAATGTTAAAAGTGTAAAATATAAAATCGAGAAATTTAACACAAAAATAGCATGTGGTAGCCATTTTTTCAATAAAGACAAAATAAACACCGAACATTTTTTTCCATAATAAAGTATTTTACATTAGCTTTAGCGTAAGATATATATTAAAATGTTTTTGGATCAGTTTCAAAAATTAAGTAGAAAAAGTAAATTTTTTGTGAAAAAGTTAATACTTTTTATATTTATTAAAAAAATCCCTTATAATAAAATAAAACACAAAACCAAGAAATTTAACACAAAAAGCATATTTTTGAATACGGTAACTATTTTTACCATGAAGACAAAATAAAGCCAACATTTTATTTTAATAATACATATACTTTAATTTAAGATATATATATAAAAGTTTCAGTATTTTCGGAACACTTTCAAAAATTAAGTTGAAAAAGTTCTACGTTCTATATGCATTTTTATGTTTTGAACCCCCCTGTATTAAAACAAATGGTCCGATTTAAATAAAAAGTATCTCGAATGAAGGAAGTATATAAATATTATTTCTTATAAAAAAATTGTATTGATCCACACATTTTTCAAAAAGTTATAACATTTGAAAGATAAAATTGTAAAATATAAAATCGAGAATTTTAACACAAAAATAGCATACGGTAACCATTTTCATTGTGAAGACAATATAAAGTCCAACCTTTTTTTTTTAATATTACATTAGCTTTAATTTAAGATATATATAAAAGTGTCATACTTTCAGGAACTTTTTCAAAAGTTAAGTTGAAAAAGTTCATTTTTTGTGAAAAAGTTTATACTTTTTATATTTATTAAAAAAATCCCTTATAATAAAATAAAACACAAAACCAAGAAATTTAACACAAAAAGCATATTTTTGAATACGGTAACTATTTTTACCATGAAGACAAAATAAAGCCAACATTTTATTTTAATAATACATATACTTTAATTTAAGATATATATATAAAAGTGTCAGTATTTTCGGAACACTTTCAAAAATTAAGTTGAAAAAGTTCTACGTTCTATATGCATTTTTATGTTTTGAACCCCCCTGTATTAAAACAAATGGTCCGATTTAAATAAAAAGTATCTCGAATGAAGGAAGTATATAAATATTATTTCTTATAAAAAAATTGTATTGATCCACACATTTTTCAAAAAGTTATAACATTTGAAAGATAAAATTGTAAAATATAAAATCGAGAATTTTAACACAAAAATAGCATACGGTAACCATTTTCATTGTGAAGACAATATAAAGTCCAACCTTTTTTTTTTAATATTACATTAGCTTTAATTTAAGATATATATAAAAGTGTCAGACTTTCAGGAACTTTTTCAAAAGTTAAGTTGAAAAAGTTCATTTTTTGTGAAAAAGTTTATACTTTTTATATTTATTAAAAAAATCCCTTATAATAAAATAAAACACAAAACCAAGAAATTTAACACAAAAAGCATATTTTTGAATACGGTAACTATTTTTACCATGAAGACAAAATAAAGCCAACATTTTATTTTAATAATACATATACTTTAATTTAAGATATATATATAAAAGTGTCAGTATTTTCGGAACACTTTCAAAAATTAAGTTGAAAAAGTTCTACGTTCTATATGCATTTTTATGTTTTGAACCCCCCTGTATTAAAACAAATGGTCCGATTTAAATAAAAAGTATCTCGAATGAAGGAAGTATATAAATATTATTTCTTATAAAAAAATTGTATTGATCCACACATTTTTCAAAAAGTTATAACATTTGAAAGATAAAATTGTAAAATATAAAATCGAGAATTTTAACACAAAAATAGCATATGGTAACCATTTTCATTGTGAAGACAATATAAAGTCCAACCTTTTTTTTTTAATATTACATTAGCTTTAATTTAAGATATATATAAAAGTGTCATACTTTCAGGAACTTTTTCAAAAGTTAAGTTGAAAAAGTTCATTTTTTGTGAAAAAGTTGTCATTTTGAATTCCCTCTTATGGTCTGAAAAGGGTTAAATTTTTTAAAAAAATATACCAAATGATAGTTAACACATCAAACATCTATAAAAAAAATTATATTAATTTGTTCATTTTTAAAAAAGTTATGACAATTTTAAGTAAAAAAAACTTGAATAAATTTCGTAAAATTAGCGATTTAAAATTTGTAATTTTTTTGGAGATTTCTTCCATTTACTGGGAACGAGGGTAATTTTTTCAATTTTTGAGGGTAATGTTTTGATTACATATTATTTGTGATCTTTTGACGTATCGTTGAAAGAAATCGGTTCGAGAAGAGCTGAGAAAAAGTGATAAAAGACCCATATAAAAAAAAAAAAACACATTATAGTAAAATGAATACCTCCTCAGCTTCGTATCGAATCTAAAAATCATTAGTTTTTCGATATTTGATATGCATTTTGTAATTTATTGGAACAATAATTATCATATTAAAGAACTATCAATTATCGATACGGATACATTCAGAGCACAGACATAGATATTCAGAAGCCCATTCATATGAAATATTGTAAACAGCTGGTTAGAAGGTCACTATTACTGAATACCCACCTAATTTTAACGTTTCGAATGGGTTCCTAGGTGAACCTGATGTTAGTGATCCGATGGACGTGGGGTCTCGTCCAGGCGTTCGCCGAGTCAGTTATGTGACGCAAAGAGAAAGCTGAACACCTGCGACAGAGGAAACCCCGCCATCCGGAACAGGAGGACTTGAGACGCAGGTTTAGACCGGCGCCCTGAGTTTTGATATGTGATAATATGCGTTATTGTGAGTTATTAAGTCCCGACCTTCGCAAAGTCCTGCCCCCCACCTTCATGTGAGATAGCCCTGGCAACGGTCTTTTGGGTCCAACTAACGAGGAAGGCAACGTTGTATTGTGATTTCTATAGATAGCGATGTAAATTATCCACAAGTCATCATAGATACACTTAAAAATTATTGATGAACATATTTTGTATGAAAAATTAAAATTCAAATAATTTTTTTAAAAACGATAAACTTGAATATTTTTAAATAGTTTTTTTTTTTAATATGTTTAAATATAAAAGTAATAACTCATAATTTTATGTGAAAAATTAGTTTTGCTTGAATTTATTTTAATTTTTAAACTTTTTATATTATTGTTTGCATAAGAGATTTATCCAACCATAAAACACAATAATTTTTATTTTTCAATTATGTGGTATATAATTGAATCTTTTTGTAAATCATTGAAAGTGTTCTAAAAACTATAAAACAGGTTACATTTAAATTAATTTTTTTATTATANTAAAAACTATAAAACAGGTTACATTTAAATTAATTTTATTATTATAGTAATTTTAGAATTTTTAAATTGTTCAAATAAGTACAAGAATAAAATTTAAAATGAGAAATTTCTGGTGCGTTGTTTTTACAGTTATAGTGTATGTGTTAAGTTGTACGTCACAAGAAACTAATTATATAGATAATTACTGGTCATATATCGAAGAAGATTACGCATACCTTCATGATAATAACAAAAAAATACTTGGATTTAAATTTAATGAATTAAAGTACGATAATTATTCAATTTTGGTGAAGGCTAGAACTTTAAAGTATTTATTTTTAATTTCCTATTATGGGTTATTGGCTATTATTAAAGACGAATTAGATGTATCATCCACTACTTTAAGAGATAAATTAATTGACATAAAGGGTAAGGTTGAACTTTTCATGAATAAGAATTATGGACCTATGGAGATTTTGAAACAAGTAGACAATTTATTTGCTGTATATATGACACCATCTACATTTTGCTTAAAATTTTTTAATATCATGTCCCGAGAAGTTTCCAATTGGTTCCCAGAACATCTTCACTATAATGCAACGTATAAAACTCTGACAACTGAATATGATTGGTCAATATACAAAAATATCGGAGATAGTGTAGTTATGAATAATACACTGATGTATCCGCCTCGCAAAGAACAACCACTGCATGAATTATGGACTATTATTGATAATCTAAAATTATTTTTGTTAAATGAATATAAGTGTTTCGACTATTCAGAATTTGATAATTTATTGTAATATTCTTCATACTATTAATCTTAAATATTGAAAAATATGATTTTAATTATTTAGATGTATTAATCTCAAATAATAACTATAACGTGATCATAAACTGCGCTAAATTTACTTTTTTATTTGTTAACTGCTCGCCGATTTTTTTCTATGATGAAAAATGTGCGTTACAGTTTTTCTATAGATCGGTTAATAATATTCTGTGCTAATTATAGAACTAGCAGAAAATATTCATTCGTTGATTTTTTACACCTATTTTTAGCCATAGAAAAACTCGAGCACAAATTATACACTTTTTTTTATCTGAAGAAAAACCGGATCGCAGATTATATACTACCATTTTCTTACCTGTAAAAAACTATTGATTGATTAACAATTTAACGAAAAAATTAATACAATTACTATTTTATGTAATTTTTTCTTTTCGTTGCTAGTAATTTTGTTATTATCTTAATAAATAAAAATACATACTAATAACAATAATCGTTCATTGTTGAGCTACTTTACACAAAAATATAATTTTCTGCAACCAAACCCTTATACCTTTAATTCATAAAAAAATTTTGATTTTTAAACGGCAACCCCATTTATTTTTACATCATCAAATTTATTCAATTAAATAAACTTAGTGTTTTGTTTTTGACGCATTACAGGTGCTTAAAGTTGAGAGATATAAATTAATGAGTACTTAAATTTAACCCTTTCAGACACAGGGTACACTATAGTGTACCTTTTGTTTGATTTGATATTATCAATTGGCAGTTAGTGTAAAATACATTATAGCAGCACATATTGTAAGAAAAACTTCCAAGGAGTTCATAAATATTGATTTAACAGCTGTACGATTAATATTTATATAGATTTTGAAATATTTTTTTTAAGAAAATGCAGATAAAATTTTGATAACGAAATGTTGAGTTTTCATACCATATTTTTTCAAGAAATAATCATGGAAATTAAATTAAATTTTTTTTACGGTTAGAAATGTTTGTGACGCTGTGTTTAAAACAGTTGATAAGTATTAAATATTATTATTTACTCATTGACAGCTGTTTAAATATGGGTACACTATGGTTTACCATGGGTCTTTTCGTGCCTCGAGGAATAATACTGTTTCATGTTATTGTTCGATGCGAAGCTGAGAAGATATTGGTTTTACTATGATGTGTCTGTTACCACTTTTTCTCAGCTCTCACCGGACCTATTTCTTTCAATGATACGTCAAAAGATAACAAATTGTATCTAGTCGAAAATATTACCCTCAAAAATTGAAAAAATTTCCCTCGTTCCCCGTAAATGGGGGAAACCTTTAAAAAAATTTCAAATTTAAACATCGCTAATTTTCGAAATTTATTCAATTTTTTTTACTTAAAACTGCCATAGCTTTTTCAAAAATGAACAAATCAATATCATTTTTTTTTATTGATACTTAATGTCATTACCTATTATTTGGTATAATTTTTTTTATAAATTTTACCCTTTACCAGCCCACAGGGGGGGATTCAAAATGACAACTTTATCACAAAAAATTAATTTTTTCAACTTAATTTCTGAAAGTGTTCCTGAAAGTCTGACACTTTTATATATATCTTAAATTAAAGCTAATGTAATATACTTTATCACGGAAAAAAAAATTTCGAACTTTATTTTATCTTTACGGTAAAATGGCTACTGAATGCTATTTGTTGTGTGAAAATTCTCTATTTTATTTTTTACATTTTTAACTTTATAATGCTATAACTTATTGAAAAGTGTATGGATCAACACAATTTTTTTATGAGAAATAATATTTTTTAATAATCCCTTTTTCATTTGACATACTTTATCTTAATCAGGATATTAATAAGGAACTAGCAGATCATGTAGCTTTTGGAATAATCCACCAATTTTTTAAAATTAAACACTATCTAAAGATTTGCATTGAAGCGTTTTTTTTTTATAGTGATTTTAATCACTGTTAGATATCATAATACTTGAACCAGCTATGCTACGTGACCACTGTGCCGCGACCCCCTGTGCTAGGTTATTTTTTTCTTTCCACTAAATCCCAAGGTACACTATGGTGTACCCATCAGTAAGTCTTTCAATATTTGTCTGATTTTTTTCAAACCTGGATTAAATTATTCATTGATAAATGACTATAAATAATTGATAAAAAAAAAAAATTATAATTTTACACAAAATAGTCGGGTCTGAAAGGGTTAATAGACGTACGTTTCCGTTTTTATCGATATTCGATATGATAATATTGTCGTGTCGTATATCTATAAATGTAAATCTATATCTGATTCATGAAAATAAAAAATAAAGCTAATGTAATAATTAAAGAAAAGTGTATTGATCAATATAANTCATAGGTATGATTTAATTTGTTGATAAGTTGTGTTCTTAAAGTAGTGGAGAGTGGAGAATGGCACCAAACTAAGGATAATTTTTAATGAAAAGTATACCAATAAAAATCATCTTAAGAGACTATATGATGTATTCATATTTAGAACAAAAAAACTTTGGTTATACCAAATTAAGTGTTAAAAGTACTTGGTTTTAAAAAAAAATTTAAGCAATAACTTATACGTTACAACATTAAATATTAAGTAATAAAATAAAATTATTATCATCAAATATATATAATGTTTATCAATTTGATTTCAATTGGTAAAAATTGTTATAGTTTTGTTTATAACTTAAATGGAGAAAANGGGTTTTTTTTTTATCATTTTATTATTTTCAATATTTTGTATGGATCAGTTCATACTTAGGGTATTATTAAACATAACTATTTACCGTCTGATAAAATCTTGGCGAACAAAGGTGTAAATATACACTTTACTGAGACTTTCCCATTCGGACGCATCAATTTATCCTATTCATAGCGTGCAATGAAATAGTGTTCAATAAAAAAAAACATTTTTAAAGAATATTTGTAATTTATTAAAAAATATCATCGTAATTATATATTTGTTCGAATTTATAGAACTGTATTTAATATTTATTATTTGTAATTGCTTAACATTCTTATTGATCAAGTCATATTAAATAATACCAACTTAAATTAATTATAACATTTTTGCTTATCTATAACACCGGTTAATACATTGGTTGTAAGAATTCTTACTAACTTGTTGATATGTGCATTACACTGTTGGAAAATTAATGAACTCACGTAAACCAGAAAATATTTCATGTAACATCAAATGTTAAGCACTACTAGGCATGTGTCTCTATGATAATAATGAATCGTTCCAGGAAGTTATACTTTTAGCGTGACAAGTTTTTCCGGGATAACGTCGAATGTGTAAAAAAAGTTTTTTGCAGTACAATTTCTTTATTTTCATCAAGTTTTTTTTTTTGGTTCAATTTTACTGTGAAGACGATTTTTAATATTTAATAAAAAGTATATTGTATACTGTGTAAAATTAATTTGTCCTTAATGCTATGACATATTGAAAAGTGTATGGATCAACATTATTTTTTTATGAGAAATAATATTTTTTAATAATCCCTTTTTCATTCTACATACTTTATCTTAATTAGGATATTAATAATGAACTAGCAGATCATGTAGCTTTTGGAATAGTCCACCAATTTTTTAAAATAAAACAGTATCTAAAGATTTGCATCGAAGCGTTTTTTTTTTATAGTGATTTTAATCACTGTCAGATATCATTATACTTGATCCATCTATACCATGTCACCACTGTGACGCGACCCACCTGTGCTGGGTTTTTTTTTACTTAAATTTGTCATAACTTTTTTAAAAATGAACAAATTAATATAATTTTTTTTATAGATGTTTGATGTGTTAACTATCATTTGGTATATTTTTTTAGAAAATTTAACCCTTTTCAGACCATTGGACTTTATATTGTCTTCACAATGAAAATGGTTACTGTTTGCTATTTTTGTGTTAAAATTCTCGATTTTATATTTTACAATTTTATCTTTCAAATGTTATAACTTTTTGAAAAATGTGTGGATCAATACAATTTTTTTATAAGAAATAATATTTATATACTTCCTTCATTCGAGATACTTTTTATTTAAATCGGACCATTTGTTTTAATACAGGGGGGGTTCAAAACATAAAAATGCATATAGAACGTAGAACTTTTTCAACTTAATTTTTGAAAGTGTTCCGAAAATACTGACACTTTTATATATATATCTTAAATTAAAGTATATGTATTATTAAAATTAAATGTAGAATTTATTTTGTCTTCATGGTAAAAATAGTTACCGTATTTAAAAATATGCTTTTTGTGTTAAATTTCTTGGTTTTGTATTTTATTTTATTATAAGGGATTTTTTTAATAAATATAAAAAGTATTAACTTTTTCACAAAAAATTTACTTTTTCTACTTAATTTTTGAAACTGATCCAAAAACATTTTAATATATATCTTACGCTAAAGCTAATGTAAAATACTTTATTATGGAAAAAAATGTTCGGTGTTTATTTTGTCTTTATTGAAAAAATGGCTACCACATGCTATTTTTGTGTTAAATTTCTCGATTTTATATTTTACACTTTTAACATTATATTCCTATAACTTTTTGAAAAATGTATGGATCGATACAATTTTTTATGAAAAATACCATTTATGTACTTCCTTCTTTGACATACTTTTGTTTTTAAATCGGACAATTTCACTTAATACAGGGTGGGTAAAAAAATTAAAAATGCTTATAGAAAATAGAACTTTTCCAACTTATTTTTCATTAAAATATATTTATTCATACGTAACCTAATAATTAAACATAAATATTTGTTATATTAATTAGAAGAATTTTGTTATTATTTTTGCTATATGCGAAACTCTGGTTACATATTTGAAATTGCAAACAAAGGTTTAGAAAAATATATTCTGGTCTCTAATGAAAATTCCTTGTATACCAGTAAATTTATTTATAAAAACAAATAATTTTTTTTTAAGTATTGCTCAAGACTTCTAACTTTTGTGTATATGTGTTTGCCATAACAGTGTTAATTATTTTATAATTTTTATAATTTCTCCGAAAAATTATAATACTAAATTATTAGATATCAATTTCATACTATTTTTAAATGCTGTAATTACATATTGCAATTATAAATCATAAAATTTGTAATCAGGACATAAATAAGTAAATATGGGTTCATGTTGCTTTTGGAATAAACCACCAATTTTCTTAAATTAAAAACTAACTACAGATTTGCATCGAAACATTTTGCTATATATTTAAGAAAAATCTCTTTTTATGTAATAATCAGACACTCATTATTTGGAATTAACACATAGGTTTTAGTTTTGAGCATCTACTTAATTAATTCAATAATTTATGAGTATAACAGCAGTACACTAATTTTCATCGATTTCTAAATCCTAAAGATTAAGGACCCTTCTAGTATTTAATCACAACCTGATTCAGGACACTTAAGGATATTCTATATATTACATAACTGACTGCTTATTTAATTATTA